GGGGGGGAAGCAAAAGAAATACACACACGATCGCGTTATCGACGCTTCGTCGACTCCTTAAATCAGCGAAGGTATAGGTAGGCAGACCGAGGGATGAAGCGTATAAGTGGGAATGGACGGGAGAGAATACTCCTTTCCTTTCCTTTTCCCCTTGGCTCTTTCTTTTTATTTTTTTTTTTTTTTCTTTTACGTTCTCCGTGACGAAGAGGGGACACGCGCATGCAGATCACGTCGGTTGTAGCCAAGTGATAGCGTATCTGTGGGCGGCGCGTGCGTGTGGTCCTTCTATGTCCCCTCGGTTCCCCTCCTTACTCGGTTCTTTCCTCGCTTCCACCATGCTTGAAGATACCCTTTTCTCCATTCCGAATCATCGTGAGCGCTACGTCCACTTTACAATCACCCCTCCCCCCTCCCCCTCACTTGTAATTTTGCACGTCAACTTGTTGATATAATACATAATTGGCCGAGAAAGTCCAACGATTGCTTCCATATTCATTATGATACGATCGTTTTAATTAGAAATGTGTGCCGTCCACGCTGACAGCTCGTATCTGTAAGGTGATCATACACTCGCCCACGTAGCCACTCTATATCGTATCGTATAACCGTTAAATTCTGTAATCTTCTCCGGCGCGATATTTTTCTTGGATAATGAAAGAAGGTATGATGATATATCATCTGTGCGCAAATTGTTATGCGGACGCTTTTCAAATAATTTCTGTTAATCGTTTATGGATGCGTAATAATTGGCCTGGAGCCAAAAGAGCAATTCTCTCGATAATGTAACTTGAATTTTATAAAATTACATGCAGATTTTTGAAAACGTATATAAAAATGTACGATCTATTTGGACGTGACATCGGTACCTATCACGAAATTGATTCTTCGAGAGCATTTCTGAATTCTAATAAAATATTGCACGTTCAACTGTACAGTTTCCTCCATTTTGCTTCGAGTCAAATATTTTTGGTAATATTGACTTGTGTTTATCTCCGTTATCATTTTCAAGGCGTATATAGCCGTTGGACGTTCGCAAGTTAAAAGAGGAGCCTACAGAGTTAAGCGTGGATGGTTACTATCAGGAATTCCGCAGGCGCGACGCAGAAGTCTCCGGTGTAGAGGACAAATAAGCGATGCTTCGAACGGACGTGACACAAAGACTCTCATCGAGAAGTCATTCCGGTCGCTTTCAGCGTCCAGGGCTCGCCGTCCCCTGGCGACGTCTCCCGCGCTTCTCCCCTTCGTCTTCGTAACTCCCATATGTATATCCTGAGCGCCGTAAACACGATTTTGCCAACACGGGGTTTTGCGGTAAAACGACGGGCCGTAATTCGCGGTAAAACGTCCGCCGGTAAGAATTTATGAAAGCTCGCCCGGGAGTCCGGGTTTACGTGCGCATATACACGGGCAAGTTGCTGCAGCCGGCGGTATACGCTCCATTCCGAGACGCGACGAGTGGCAGTCGCGACCGGTCGCACAGGATTCTCCTTATCGACGCGAGAAGGCCCGTCTTTGGATATACCACCGGGATCCAAAATAGCGTCGTTGGGGCCCACCTCCACTCTTTCACCGGCACCTTCGAGAAAAGAAACGTAACTCTAGACGTATCGCGGTGTCATGTCCTGCGCACCTGGCGGCCCCGTTCTTTGTAACACAATACACGCGTTTCGTCCTCCTGCTCCTCCTGCTCCTCCTCCTCCTCTTTAACTTCTCCTCCGCTTACCGCTGCCCTTTTGTCTCTTCTTCTCTCCGGCCCGTCATCAGCTTATACCTAGCCTGGATATGTGGAACGGATAAAAAAGGAGGAGGCAAAAATCCTGGTTTAATACCAGGGGGATTGGAATTTTCGGTCGGGCTGACGTACTCGCTCGAAAAAACCTGTTTAAGTGAACACACCGTAACGTCTGATATATCTAAGAGTCGCACAGATGAAGATTTAGACAGTTAAAAATATTTCGCGACTATATTTAGCAAAGCGGTCTGTTTTGCGTGCGATAAATTAAACGTGTGTCGCATACTGATTTTTCTGAGAAACTAAAAAATTTGGGGAAGAAAATATACACGATCGATGGTATCGGTATAATAAAGGTGACGATAATTTTCGCTCGAATTAATTTTTTACGAATTTTGTTTATTAAAATTTCTACTTGAAAACCTCGGACAATATATATTTTACCTAGAAATCCAATTTCCCATAATAGAATATTTTAATTAAATCCCATTTGATTCATCCATCATTTTGCTGCGCAAGAGGCGAGGGAGATTGAGTAAAAGTGCAGACGACTGTGAGTTAAAAAATAATAATAAATGTTTATTTTACACACGTGAACGACAGAACACAACGGACAAGTATACAGTAGGTACGGTTTAAAAATGGAGACGACTATGCGTTATTCAAGAAAGAGAGAGAGAGAGAGAGAGTACCTACTGCGTATCGCATACATAGAATTACAGACCTAAACATACACGAATTCGTATATCATTATCGTGATGTACATAACAATGATTACGCTCTAAACGTTAACGATGATAGATAGTACAGGCAGATAGATACGATGTGAGTCAGAGGCTCGAATACGCGCAAGAGATCGAAATCCTGACCGTATCGATGGTGGACCGTGGCTCTCGGATACGACCGAATCGACCGTCGGAATCGATCGCACGTCGAAGTCAAGATCACTGCGGCGTTATAATAAATGAGTGTCGATCCGTATTGTTGACAGAAAGCGCAGGCAAGATTTTCTGACCGAAGAAAAATCGATATTTGTGTATTAAGACGTCTCCTGAAGGACAATGGTGCTCGAAGCGGAGACAGGTATACCCGATGGTGGTGGCGACGACGGTACTCCCAAATTGTGGGTCAATGAGTGTCTCCTCAGGTCACAATTCCTACGGAAGACCTTGCCGCAGGAGGCGCAATGATAGGGCTTAATGTCCGTGTGTGTGAGAAGATGAGTCTTCAAATTGCTCCTCTGATTAAAACTCCTGGCACAGACGGGACATTTGTGCGGCGACTCCTCCATATGCAGAATTTTATGAACAGCTAGTGTCCTGCTCTGGCAGAATCCTTTGCCGCATTCGGCGCATTTGAACGGTTTCTCCTTGCTGTGTATATACCTGAAATAAAAGAGGAAACCTGCCGGTTTGAATCTTACGTTTAAATTTCTTGTCCAATTATATAACTACTCTATCTGTGTTTCTCGAAGTCAGAAAAGCATTCAAAAGTATAAATTTGTAAAATTATAGACGCGCGGGACAAGATATATTTACATGTTTAATACTAAAAATTGAAAGGAGAGAATATAAAATAATTAACGAGTAATATATTATTAGCTTAATTAACATTATTATTACAAGTAAGGACTACAATTATTGCAACGGTAAAGATATGAATGAATGAATGTATCATGACACGTTGACCATTAAATATAATATACACGTCATTCAATCATCGTTGTAATTACGCGAGGTAGAAAAGGCGTATCGTGAATTTGTCTGTTCGTAAATCGTACGACGCTTGTAATTAATGGCGACGCGATAAAGAGATAAATACGCGCGGTCTCTAAATCTTCCACGAAGGGAATAAATTCGGTAAATAATCCTATACCCGACATCAAAGCATTAACGTTTAATTCAATTTTCTTTTACGTAACATACTGTAATATTTATTTCTTTCGTACGCTGGAGCTTATAAGTAAATTCTACTAAAATGGTTATTTTAATCGTAACTTGATTTAATTGTTAATAAGCATAAATTATATTTGTTAATAAACTCGTGTGCATTTAATAAAAAGCACATCTATGTATAAATAATAAAATCTGACATAAAAAATTTTAATTAATTAAAATACAGTTTCTCGAACAGAAAACACATTTACAATTTTATTTTTTATTATTCATTAATTATAATTTTATTGCTACTATTTTTTATCGGTGTTAAAATTATTTTAAATGAAAAGTTTCATAATTTAAATAATTAATTCAATTAACGTTCTCCATTTAATCAGTTAAGTTATTTCACAGACATTCAACAGTGAAAAAGCTACGCGCGCGATTGCGTGTAGCGTTGTCACAAAGAAAGATCTAATCGGAAGATTAACGCCTACCAGATAAACAGAGCCTATTTACATTACCTGTGATCTCTGAGGTGATCTTGCCGTCGGAAAGCTTTGCCACATATGTCGCACGAATACGGCCGTTCGTCGGTATGCGTCCTCTCGTGAATCAACAGATTGTAGCTCTTCGTAAACTGCCGGCTGCAGAACTTACAAATGAACTGTTTCTTGGGTCTGGACGTACGGCAAGTCCTTGGTACACTCGAGTCCACCGTGACCGAAGCGTGTTGCGCGGACGAGGAGGAGGAAGACGAGGTCGAAGAGGCCGAGGAGCAACCCGAGGAAGCGGATGACGCGAACGATGTCGGGACGGTCAAAGATCGTGAGACAGTCGTCACGGATGTGCTAGCACGGTTTCCTTCGGATATTCGTCGTAGAAGTAGCTCGTGGTTCGCCGAGGAGGAGCTCGTTCCAGACGTCTCGCACAACAGGACCTCGTCGTCCTCCGCGAGAAGCGCAAGATCCTCCTCGGTGTCGGTCACAAAGTCCAGCCGTGCTTCGTCGTCCTCGCTAATCGCCGAAGCGGCTGATCGGAGCAACTGATCAGCCGTCAGATGGTCGTTCTTGACAGCTGTCGGGCTCAGGGCCACGTCAACATTCGCGTTCAATGACGAACACCTCTGATTACCAACGACAGTCGCGGTGGCGCCCGCGGTTTGCGCGACCCCGGAAGTCGCACCGCTCGCATGAAGACGATGAAGGGTGAAGTACGTCTCCAATGCCTGCAGATTAAATGCCGCGGCGGCGGCGTGTCCCGGCGGCAGGAGCGCCGCTCGTTGCAGAGCAGTGAGGAGGGCACCCTGAAGCCGCAGGGCGACACTCTGCAACGCTAGATTAGGTAATTCGGAGCCCGGTGTAGCGAGACCGGTGACATCAGTCTCCTGTGAGTCCATCGTAACCGTCGTGACCGACGAAGTAGATGACGAAGACGAAGCGGACGGCACCATTACGAGGGTCCGTTGCTCCTGCTCCGGTTCCTGCTGATGTTCCTCCTCCTCCTGCTGCTGTTGCTGCTGCTGTTGTTGTTGCATCCTCCACTGTCGTTCGAATCGTCCCGGATTAGCCTCTGGAACGTGCACCTGCCGTGTTTCGCCGATATCATTGGCAAGGCGATCGGAAATTCCAAATTTGTCCTAATTGATCCAGATAAGTATTGCAACGTGGATACGTGCCGGTACACCTCCGGTATCCCGGTAAGTCCTCCGGTGTGATTCACCCTTGCACGACTTGTTGACTTTTGCCGAACTCGGCCACGCGTTTACATATTTTTCGCTGATTGATTGTCAGTTCCCGAAACGATTGTTCCTGTAGGCACAGTGCTCAAACGCGAAAACGGGAAAGAGGATACACACACACGATGCTGGCGGTGCGAAGGCGCCCCGAAGACTGCTCCTACCTGCCGCTGCTGGGTACTGCTGGTGGAGCCACCTGGTGGCAGGTATCCGAGTCAAAATGGGCCTGTCCGCGGGGAACGGGCCCCGGATTCAGGAGAGAGAGTGCCGTGCCACAGCTGGTCCGCGCGATCGCCGGCCCGCCGGTTTCGACGATCCGAGACCGACCGCGCATGATCTTTAACGTGGGCCGCTGCGACCTGCGTGCCGCAACGACGAACATACACTTGGAGACGCACGCGTGCGCGTGTGCGAGGGATATCCGGAAACGTGAATCGCGATCGCGATCGCTTTCGCGGGTCAACAGCTGTTTAACCCGCGTGTGTTCCCTTCACAGAACGCGCGTCTCTCTTTATATTCGGAGGACAAATATGCAGCAGATATTTTTATTTGTGCAGCTATACAGAAAAACTGAAGCATCTACAAATATATAGTTGAATATAGAACTGAAGATAATTTTGTAGGACTATCAAAATAATTAGAACAATGTCTTGATGAGAAAATGCTGTAAAAGGCTTAAATAATCAGTTTGAGCGATTTACATAATCATTTTAATAGTGAGACAAAATATTTTCGGATCTGCATAGATTCTTCAACAAAACTGTTCTCCGTGAATTAGAAATAAAATTGCATGGTTACATATATAGATAACTCACGTAATAGGAAGTTATTGATACACCAACACCAATTTAGATACTAAATTTACAATTTTTGCCGTATATAACGCTTGTAAGCGTTACGATTTTGAAAGTTACATATTTTTATATGTAATTAATTTTGTATGAGATTATACCTCTTACAATCCTTTAAATATATGCTTCAATATTATTAATTTATATATTTCAAATAAAATCCGAAATCAATTTATAAATAAAATTTTAATAGCTTTTAATTTTTAAACGAAAACGATCATTTTCTAAATTGTGTTGATTTTAACGAGATTATATGTAAAATTAGTATAACAGTTTTCAAAGGTAATGTATTTTTTCTTGGAAAATAATTTTCTTTTAACAAATTGTGATCAATTTGTAAGTTTTACATAAAACTGATTTATATATAATTAATTAATTTTTATGTCGGCTTAATATTGAAGATAAATATACCTTCTATAATCAATTCAATGTCAGTTTAATTTTAATAACGCGTCTTTCGCATATAAGAACAATGTTTATTCCAAGAATGTTATTAATGAAGTTTATGAAAGAAACTTAATAGACTGCTCCATGCATTTCAAAGATTTTAAACTCACTTAGTACGGACGATCTATATATGTATATAGTCGGCTTAAGTTTTTATAATATCTCAATAGACGTCGTGTGAAAATGAGGTAAAACTGAGTGAATAGTGATGCCTCGTCAAAAAAAAAAAGCATCTCTCCCGCGGTACCGCGCCCGTGTACCGCGGCTTCGTACCGACTCGACTCAACTCGGACTCTCGGCAAAGCCGCAACAATTTACGACGGCAATTAATGCGCGCGAGTAAGCCGTGTATAGCGCCTATAGTTAGCTGCCTCTTCAGTGTCGGAGCGCACCGAAAGCGAGGGAGAAAGAGAGACATTCCGTACACGCGCTCTCGTGCGCGCACATGAGACAAAAAAAAGGGCGAGTAACCTGGCAAGAAGAAGAGAGAGAAAGGATGAGAGTGAAGGGGAGGGAGAGTACTATGGAGTACGATATAGAAGGAGAGGAGGTCTCTCAAGGAAAGGCGAAAGAGAGACGATCGAAGTGGAAAAGGGTGCGGTAAGGGAAGGCGAGAGGGAAGAGAGGGAGGGAGAGAGAGAGAGAGAGAGAGAGAGCGAGAGAAGCGCGGCCAAGAGAGAAGAGAGGCGAACCGAGGCATCGGGCAGACTAAATAATATTATAGGTGGTGTTCTCACGGTCCCGGGACGCCCGCGGGCCAACTCGTCACCCCTCTCCCCGTACGGCCCCTCTTCCTCGCCTTATTCTCTCCTCCCGCTCTCCCTGGCCGCCTCTTACTCCCCCGCGCGTAAGCTTCGCCCACGCTGGGCCCTCACGGAGGGCCCCACGGAGTCGTTTGAGTCCCGCCGGTGAGACGGAGAGGCCCCGACCGAACGATGCCGGACGCAGACGAGGACGCACGAAAGGGTCAGAGGTTACCTCGCGCTCGCTGACCGTCACCGTGCGGACGCACGGTTCCTTCTCTCCTTCTCTCTCCGCTCCTCCCCCTACTCTTTTTTCCTCCTTGGCGTCTCTACGTCGAGGAGGGCCCCCGCACTCCTTCCTCCCCTTCACCCCCCCCCCCCCCCCCCCCCCCCAGTCCCCCTCCCCTCCTCTACCCCCTCCCCCTCTGTCCCCTCCCGCGTCTTCACGTCTTCTCGCTCTTCTCTCTTCGGTGAAGTCCTCCTCCGCGAAAGTTGACAGGCTCTACCCAGTTAATCAAGTAGCGAGTTAATTGCCCGGCTAGAACATAATACGCGCCCGCGATATACGCGGCACTTTATTTGGACATGCTGACATGTAACGCGCTGCTTTCCGAACGAAGTTCTATGTCAGATGAAGCGGGATGTCTCAACGATCTGCGCTCGTATCTTACATCGTCGTTTCATTGTGTTTCCCCGTGTCACAACGTATTAACATGCACGAGTCACAACGTATAGTAATGTCAACGCACTCGAGATTATACATGCCTTCGAAACGACGAATATCGAGTGAAATTTTCACACGGCAAGTATATTGTGTGGAACGATGACTGTTTTACGCTTGTCTCGTTTTTGTTATGGAATTTTATGTTCGAAATTTTGATACTTGACATTGTAATTTCTTGATAATTATCTTTTATTTAGTTGCCAAGAGCAGATATATTTATTATAAAAATAAGACTAAAAAACAAGTAAAATTAAAGTGTACATTATTTTTAAATGTATCTTAATTTTGCACGTTTTTATTTATTTTGATATTATTTTACAAATATAGGCCGTTCTTTTTATTAACGATATTTATTATTATAAGATTATTCTTATATTAATAAAATCCAAAGATGTTACGTTTTTATAGAGGTTGAAAATTTATCTGAAAAAATAAAATTATAATGCGCCTTTATTTCTTATTGTAGGAAGAAACGCCTTTTTTATGCTTTTTTATGTATTGTTAGGGAAGAATAGTACATTCGGTTATTATTACATCCGCAGTTAAGCGTATTATTGCGAATAATTCGACAATGTGCTTAGAAACCATCAATTGATTTTATATGTCAGGAAATTTTCTCGTCTCTGTGCTCTTTAACTCCAGAAGGCAAAAGGTTATAAGTGGCGTTCAACATCGATAAATAAAGTAACGCGGCGTGACATGAGAAATTCCTTGCGATCGGCGACCTGCGCTGAATCGAAAAGAAAGGGTCCGAATCACTGTCCTCCGATCGATTCTAACATGCTTAACACACTGAACGATGACACGAGCGAGGCACGTGTATATGCAAGCATTATAGAAAGTATTGTATGTATACTCTGAAAGAACGAGACGAAACTTATGAAATTGTGTGAATGTGTATTTAACAATAATATTATCTTTTCTTGAAATTACTTTTAATTCTTTTTTAAATTAATAGATATTATTACAATTATATTTTTATACTCACATACAAATCAAAATATTATTAACAATATATAAACTCCACTAAGACCCACTATGACTAAAAACAGCAATGTTTTCTCTTATTCATGTTTAAATACCTTTTAATTTATAATTTCACTTAATATTTAATATTATTCTATTCGCGATGTAAATTAATTATAATTAATATTTTCAGGGAAAATCGCGAAATAACAATTGGTTGTTTCCCACATCACTTTTCTCAGATACCTTATACTCGAATGACGTAACAATGAAGCGAGCTGTTTCAAATGTATACCGTCTTAGAGATTCTCTCTTCAGTTAGCGAGCAGCATCCACACCGTCATTCAATTTGCTCTTGTTTCCTCAATGCGGTGAAGCGCAGAGGGAGGCCGCGACATCCCGCCGCGTAGATAATTAGATCGCTACTAAGCACCTCCACTTTCACGCATCTTCACCTCCGCGGTTGCGTACGGGCACTTGTTTCTCTCCTTGTTTTCCGCCTCCTATCCCCCTTGGATACGAGTTCTCGCCCCGTTTGTTTCTCTTTGACTATACATGCGCGTTCACGGCGTGATACAACCGGTCCCCCTTCGCCTCGACGTGATAAAGGAAAGCACGCATCGTTTCGTTTGACCACGTGATCGCAACGATTATCCCTTTCCCCATCTAGCGTCTTCTCTCCCGTTTTAATTTCTCTTGAAAATACATGGAATATTCATCTTAGTCTATTTTAATTGTTAAAATAACGTTATACACCGAAATTTTAGTAATCAAGTCAAACGTATTTCTCTATTTAATTGTTGAACTTGTCACGGAATACCTTATATAATGGATTGCCTAGCGTATTATTTTTATAAATGTCACAGAATATGATGATATAAATCCAGACAAAGAGGAAGAACAATGTCTTCACTTCTACCCATCGTCACCTACGAAGTCTCGCCTAAATCTTCGCCGCATCTTTTCTCTTTCCTTTTAGTCTCTTTCCACGTTGCTCTTTTCTCTTCTTTGGCCGTTCGATTATTTCTTCTTCTAACCGATTATACGCTCGTTGGTGCCGCGGTATCGCGAGACAGCCAGGACACAAAGAGGTGGAATGAACGAGAGGTTCGGGACGATGAAGAGAGAACAGAGTGCACGGACGTCCGTGGACCCCCCGTCCGGGATCGCGAGATTGATTTGTCCAATTACGTTAAACAATCCCCGGGATAATTCGATCGCCTGGTATC